AGCCTCACCTCCCTGCGTGGTAGCCCATTGATGGTAGCCTCACCTCCCTGCGTGGTAGCCCATTGATGGTAGCCTCACCTCCCTGCGTGGTAGCCCATTGATGGTAGCCTCACCTCCCTGCGTGGTAGCCCATTGATGGTAGCCTCACCTCCCTGCGTGGTAGCCCATTGATGGTAGCCTCACCTCCCTGCGTGGTAGCCCATTGATGGTAGCCTCACCTCCCTGCGTGGTAGCCCATTGATGGTAGCCTCACCTCCCTGCGTGGTAGCCCATTGATGGTAGCCTCACCTCCCTGCGTGGTAGCCCATTGATGGTAGCCTCACCTCCCTGCGTGGTAGCCCATTGATGGTAGCCTCACCTCCCTGCGTGGTAGCCCACTGATGGTAGCCTCACCTCCCTGCGTGGTAGCCCACTGATGGTAGCCTCACCTCCCTGCGTGGTAGCCCATTGATGGTAGCCTCACCTCCCTGCGTGGTAGCCCACTGATGGTAGCCTCACCTCCCTGCGTGGTAGCCCACTGATGGTAGCCTCACCTCCCTGCGTGGTAGCCCACTGATGGTAGCCTCACCTCCCTGCGTGGTAGCCCATTGATGGTAGCCTCACCTCCCTGCGTGGTAGCCCATTCCATCTGTTAACTACTCTGACACTGAAACAAATTTTTCTAATGTCTCTGTGGCCCAAATATTTAAGTACCAAACTTCCACCCGTGTTCCCTTGTTCGTGTTCCGTTTACGCTAAATAGTTTGTCTTTGTCCACCCTGTCATTTCCTCTTGAGAATTTTGTAGGTGGTGATCATGTCTCCCCTAACTCTTCTGCCTTCCAGGTACATGTGGTTTAATTCCAATAGCCTTTCCTCGTAACTCATACCTCTCAGGTCTGGGAGTAATCTGGAGGCATATATTTGAATCTTTTCTAACTTTGTTGTGTGTTTTAACTAGGTATGGACTCCAGACTGGAGCCGCATACTCCAGGATTGATCTGACAAATGTGGTGTAAAAGGTTCTGGATGATTCCTTACACAAGTTTCTAAAGGTAGTTCTTATGTTGACCAACCTTGCATACGCCGCTGATGTGGGTTTCTGGGGATAAGTCCGGTGTGATATCAGACCCCCAGATCTTTCTCTCTACCTGATTCTTGAAGGATTTCATCTTTCAGATGGTACCTTGTATTCGTCCTCTTGCTTCCTTCACCTATTTTCGTAACTTTACACTTACATGAGTTATTAAAAAATGATAATGCTTATAGCAGCTATTGGTCGAACATACAAAAATGGACTGTTATACCAAAATACTTATGTTTAGTACTATCATTTTTCTACGTGGCATGAAAGCGAAGGTAATAGGCAAGCCTAAATTTTCCGTCTATTATAGCACATATATGAACTAAATTAAGGATAGACGTGCAAACTAGGCTTAGGATTGCTTATTTAGGCCTAGGAAAGGTTAGGTTATGTTTTATAGTTAATGTTCCACTCTTTAGCGTGCCAGTTGGAATATTTGAATAGTACAAAAAGTGAACATTTATTGGTGCAACAGTCCATTTTTGTACGTTCTACCAGTTGGTAGTACAGTACAGTACTAAGTAAGTACAGTACTATAATTTTGGAACCTGAGTTGCAGGGTTTGTATATGTTGTGACCGTGTGTTAGGGTGTGTATGCGGGTTAATTGTTTAGTGTTGTGTCCGTATTGCATGACATGATGGCTAGTGAAGGCACACAGGATGCCGGGATATTCTGGCAGTGGTGGTGCAGAGAAGCTGTAGCCTCTTGTCCAGGCGGGTCGCTGCTGCTGCTCCTGCTGCCTTCAAGTAAGCCGCTTGCTTATTGGACATTTTATTTATATTTTTATGAATACTGGGTTTTGGCCTAGGTCTCTCAGAATTCTCTGTCTTGAGTCAAGATTGAGGTTGTACAATGGGATCGAACCCACGTCACTGTACTCCTCACGCACACTACTATATTCTAAGTATCCTCTGATAGAAACGTCACGTTCTTGTCCCTAATAGTCTAGGGTAGTTAGGGCTGTAAATTGTATTCGCTGATGACATTGATAAAAATTGTGCCGCTTAATTCCTTCTAGTTCTATGCGGGGTTCATGGATAATTGAAATACTGTCCCGTTTTCTCTTTTGGGTCCTCTGGTAGGTTAGGATAGGAGACTTTAGTAGGACAGTTTCTTGATGTTGGGAACCCTAGGAGGCCGGGCATGGACCCATCCTCCTGTTTAGATAGTACCTATTGTGACGATCGTCAACAGTCAAAATTCGTACGTTCTTAGCCTTTAGGTATAGTAGTATACTGACTAGTAAGAAATTCTTTTAAAATAAATGAAGCTAAAACAGACTTAAATATTTCTAAGCCTAATATAGCACATATATATGTACTATATTTTAGGTCTGAGATATCGTGTATTAAGCCAAGGGAGGTTAGGATAGTTTAGTTTATCAGAGCAACACAAGTAAAAAATAGTTTTCCGGTTTGTCCAACTCAAAAGTTCAGCTTTCTACGTTCTAATTTGGTTGTAGGTGGGTATATATATATACCACGGTCCTCATGGTTGCTATAAGAACTACCAAAACAGGAGGATGGACTGGGATATCATCGTCACTGGTGGTATTGGCGACTGTGTCTTGCGGGATTTCAAGGTCTAACTTTTATAGTGTTGTTTATTTTAAATAGTCGCCGGGTGAGAGTGGAGGCGTGTGGCGGGAGCTTGAATGAGGAGTGCAGCTGTTCTCCTCTTACTCTAGCGTTTAGGGTCATATTTGCTGCAAATTGAAGTCGTTCGTGTTGACCTGTGCGTCGTTGCCAAACGTTGGACTTGATTGTTGAACTTTATATTGCGGAATATTATCCCCCAGACCTTCTGTATGTATGTTATGTGTAAGCTGTGTGCTTCTTGACCACGTTGTCTGTGTACATTACATGGTGTACATTATGTGCACTTGTGTACGTTATGTGATTGTGTATGTTATGTGATTGTATATGTTATGTGTGCTTGCGTGTGTATGTGTGCTTGCGTGTGTATGTTATGTGTGCTTGCATGTGTATGTTATGTGTGCTTGCGTGTGTATGTTATGTGTGCTTGCGTGTGTATGTTATGTGTGCTTGCGTGTGTATGTGTGCTTGCGTGTGTATGTTATGTGTGCTTGCGTGTGTATGTTATGTGTGCTTGCGTGTGTATGTTATGTGTGCTTGCGGGCGCTTGTCAAGTGGACAGCGTTTCGTAGTCCTGAGGTTCCGAGTTCGATCCCCGGTGGAGGCGGAGACATATAGGCAAAAACTTTCTTTCACCCTGATGCCCCTGTTACCTAGCAGTAAATAGGTACCCGGGAGTTAGACAGCTGCTACGGGCTGCTTCCTGGGGATGTGTAACAAAAAGGAGGCCTGGTCGAGGACCGGGCCGCGGGGACGCTAAGCCCCGAAATCATCTCAAAATAACTTAAATATTGCGTGTGTATGTTATGTGTGCTTGCGTGCGTCGTCTGTGCTTGTGTTCGTTATGTGTGTTTCAGAGTGTGTGTACTCACCTAATTGTGATCACCTAGTTGTGCTTGCGGGGGTTGAGCTCTGGCTCTTTGGTCCCGCCTCTCAACCGTCAATCAACTGGTGTACAGATTCCTGAGTCTACTGGGTTCTATCATATCTACATTTGAAACTGTGTATGGAGTCAGCCTCCACCACATCACTGCCTAATGCATTCCATTTACTAACTATTTTGACACTGAAAAAGGTCTTTCTAACGTCTCTGTGGCTCATTTGGGTACTCAGCTTCCACCTGTGTCCCCTTGTGCGTGTACCACCCGTGTTAAATAATCTATCCTTGTCTACCTTCTCAATTCCCCTGAGAAATTTGTATGTGGTGATCATGTCTCCCCGAGTTCTTCTGTCTTCCAGCGACGTTAGGTGCATCTCACGCAGCCTTTCCTCGTAACTCATGCCTCTTATTTCTGGGCCTCGCCTTGTGGCTGTTCTCAGGCCAGGGGCCTCGCGGCTGAGTGAATAGTGCTCGAGGGTCGTAGTTTTAAGAGCCCGGGTTCGATTCCTGGACGAGACAGAAACAAATGGGCAGAGGTTCTTTCATCCTGATGCGTCTGTTCACCTAGCAATAAATAACCTGATTCGCTGCTTCCTGATTCGTTGTATGTGTGTGTGTAGAGAGAAATAGGAGAGAAATATATGTAGTAAACATAATAGAGGAAAAATAGATTGGTTAGAAAGGCGGGGTCCAAGAGCTAATAGCTCGATTCTGCAGACACAAATAGTAAATACACACACTCTCGCTACGTGTTGTTGTATGTGTGTACTCTATGTGCACTTGTGTGTGTGTGTGTGTGTACTTGTATGTGTGTACTTGTATGTGTGTACTCTATGTGCACTTGTGTGTGTGTGTGTGTACTTGTATGTGTGTACTCTATGTGCACTTGTGTGTGTGTGTGTACTTGTATGTGTGTACTCTATGTGCACTTGTGTGCACACACACAAGTGCACATAGTGCACAGGAAGCTGAGTGATTGATGGTTGTGCATCAACCTCCCCCCCCCCCTCCCTGTTTGCCGTCGTCAATAATATTGAAGGTCATGCAGATCAACACAGTTCTGTTCCTGCATTAACGGCGTCTGTCTGTTCACTGTTCCGCACGCTTATGGTACTCTTGGAAGGAAGACCATTCTGTTATCTGGTACAACTTACGACCCCGGGTTCACCGGTGGAACAGAAACTGGTGGGCATGTTTCCTTTCACCTGATGCAGCTGTTCATGTGTGAGTAAATGGGTGGGCACGGAGTTGAAGAGGTGTTGCTGGTTGCCTCCTGGTGGAGGGGTCAATGGTTGTGTCAGGGGTGGGGGTGGTGGAGCTTGAGAAACTTTACCAGGGGCTTCTTTTATTGCTCGGCGAAGAGAAGCCTCGGATCAGGAAGCTGCTGCCAAACTGTTTCTGCCTCCCGGCTTGAAGCACTCTGGTGAATGTGTATAAAAGTAGTCAGATATGTTAGGTGTCTCATACAGTTATGTTACACCTGGTCTTGAAGAGGTGCCAGTGTTGTGACAGTCCGCTTATTCTGGTCGTTGTGTCCTGCCTTCCACCCGGGGCCACTTTGGTGGTTTCTCTGTTGAGTTGGTCTCGGCTGCCTTCCACCCGGGGTGACTTTGGTGGTTTCTCTGTTGAGTTGGTCTCGGCTGCCTTCCACCCGGGGCCACTTTGGTGGTTTCTCTGTTGAGTTGGTCTCGGCTGCCTTCCACCCGGGGCCACTTTGGTGGTTTCTCTGTTGAGTTGGTCTCGGCTGCCTTCCACCCGGGGTGACTTTGGTGGTTTCTCTGTTGAGTTGGTCTCGGCTGCCTTCCACCCGGGGCCACTTTGGTTGTTTCTCTGTTGAGTTGGTCTCGGCTGCCTTCCACCCGGGGCCACTTTGGTGGTTTCTCTGTTGAGTTGGTCTCGGCTGCCTTCCACCCGGGGTGACTTTGGTGGTTTCTCTGTTGAGTTGGTCTCGGCTGCCTTCCACCCGGGGAGACTTTGGTTGTTTCTGTGTTGAGTTGGTTTCGGCTGCCTTCCACCCGGGGCCACTTTGGTGGTTTCTCTGTTGAGTTGGTCTCGGCTGCCTTCCACCCGGGGCCACTTTGGTTGTTTCTCTGTTGAGTTGGTCTCGGCTGCCTTCCACCCGGGGCCACTTTGGTGGTTTCTCTGTTGAGTTGGTCTCGGCTGCCTTCCACCCGGGGCCACTTTGGTGGTTTCTCTGTTGAGTTGGTCTCGGCTGCCTTCCACCCGGGGCGACTTTGATTGCGTCTGTGTTAAGTTGGTCTCGGCTGCCTTCCACCCGGGGCAACTTTGATTGCGTCTGTGTTAAGTTGGTCTCGGCTGCCTTCCACCCGGGGCAACTTTGATTGCGTCTGTGTTAAGTTGGTCTCGGCTGCCTTCCACCCGGGGCGACTTCCACATTTCAATTGAAATGCATAATTTAAGTGAGGCCTAACATAAACAAGACAAAGTTAATAAGATTATACAGTAGTTTTATTGCTGGGGAATCAAACGTTGGTCCAATTAGTTGTGAGCAGATGTGCTAAGGTCACTCAGGGAGCAAGATATTTTCCTACTGGTCGACGCCAGGAATGTCACGACGGGTCAGAGGTCAGCAAGTGAGCATAAATCATCTCACACATAAAGTAATGTACTCCAGGGTCAATTACCCAACCACTTGGGCTGGACGGTAGAGCGACGGTCCCGCTTCATGCAGGTCGGCGTTCAATCCCCGTCCGTCCAAGTGGTTGGGCACAATTCCTTTCCCCCGTCCCATCCCAAATCCTTATCGTGACCTCTTCCCAGTCATATATAGAAGTAATTGCTTGGCGCTTTCCCCCTGACAGTTCTGTTCTGTTCCAGGGTCAATTGAATTTGTCCCGCTGAGTCAGATATACATGTGAGTTGGCACTCTTGATGTCAGATAAGCGCGTGGCTTGACATCTAATTGAGATCAGATACATAAGTGTTGGTTGAACTCCTTTGAGTTAAATAATGGACAATGGTTCGTCTCCATTGAATCCTCTAATAATGCAAGTGTTGTGATTTCCTTGCTCAATAATATATGACTCACTTCAGTCCAGTTAAAGGAAGTTGAAGGCTTATAATTAATTATGTCTGCTAGTTGCAGGCGATGAGTGACAATAACGTGGCTGAAGTATGTTGAATCGATCTCACAATCGACTTGAGAATGGTCCAGGACCGACCGAAACGTCGTCGTCCCTTCACCTTCTAGTGTGTGGTCTGGTCAACTTATGTCTGCTAAATTAATGTACGCGGAGGGACTTGATTTGGGCACAGATTTTACAGTCTTATGATCAGTTTGCCATATAATAACTGACTTCCATTTATAGCTGAGTACGTCACTTATACACAAGTCGTTTGTCTCTAGTGTTAGATGTATGCGGTGAGTTCATAGTTTACACCTCGTGCACCCTCACGCAATGTTACAGCATGAATAGCCAGTTCTAACCTGTGCGTACATGTTCCGTATATACTGTATTGTATTGCAATACACCAGACGTGGCCGGCGAGACGTGTCGATAATAAGAATCGTTATATTTTTTGTAGTTGGGAATGAAAGCGGGATGATGATAGGAAATATATAATGCGAGACATGCAGTAGTTCAACCTTCTCATCAGCTACTCAGTCGTGTGTGATTTGATTCACGGAACGTGCACACGCGCAACGGTGTCACGTTTCCACGAGTAGTCCGTTATGCGCCACATATAATAAGGGCAGAAAATTCATATGTGGCAACGCAGCCAAGAATGCCTGGGCTAAGCGACATACTAAAACCACGCTGATTGGCTTGCGTAGTTGCGTCGAAGCGCGTGATTGGTGGGTATCAGTCCCCGCGCAATTTTACCTGCTAGCAGACGTCATCAGGGCCAAGGAAAGTACGGGCGAGGGAGCTGGTGAGCTTTACGCAGTTTTAAGAGTATTGTGCGGTCCATTGGGCACCTTTGTACACAAACATTCAATCATATCACATGAAGACACGAGTGGAATGTGGAAAATCGTTAAAGCAAAGGAAATAACTGAGAAAATGTGTGAAATCTGGAAATAGTGAAGGTTCCGTTTAGTATGTTTATCATTGCTCTACACGAGGTGGCACATTGTAAACAACTCTTTGTGTAGTTCTGTATTCCAGTAGCTACAACAACCCTAACATATTCGGGAGTTGGGAACCAATATGGTCCTATTGTAATGTGATCGTGATTGTGAAAAGTATAACCCACGCGCTCTTATTGTGTATTTTGTTGTGTAACGTTTGTTAAGGGGAATATGCCCAGTAGTGAAGTTATTGCACAAGATGGAGTGTGCAGTGGAAGTGCTAAGTATTTATGCTGATTATGTTTGACTAGGTGCACTCGAGTATAATATCTAGCTTCTACTGAATGCTTTAATTTTGTTTAATCAAATGTGATCCATTGTGTTGAAACTTGATACTGTATGGGATCAGAGCTTCGTACACGAGACGGTTCACCCACGAATTTTAAAACCCTGACAACCAAATAAAAGCTGTGATAATATTTGGTGTATAAAGAGTGAGAATCTTCAAAAAGTAACAATATGAAGTAGCTTTCAAAATGAGAATTTATGGATGAAATGACGAGTGTACAAAATTCCTCGATACGATATTACCATAAGAAGATAAAAGTGAAGGTAACTGCAGAAGGTCTATTGGCCCATACAAGGCAGCTCCTATTTATATCCACCCAATCTCATTCATATATATGTCTAACCTACGCTTGAAACAATTGAGGGATCCTACTTCTATTATTTTACGGGGTAATTGGTTGCCACGTTTTAAACTTTATATTTGGTTAGCTCACCAGAAAGTGCAACATGCTTGTGTATAAACAAATTCACAAAGGCCGTGACGAGGATTCGAGCCTACGTCCGAGAGCATCCCAGACGCTGCCTTAATCGACTGAGCTGCGACATTGTCAAAAAGAGTTGAAACCAGAAGTTCTACTGAACTTACTTGGATCCTCTTGGACGTAGGTTTAAATCCTCGTCACGGCCCTTGTGGATTTGTTCATTTGATGCATCACGTTATTGTGATTTCTGTTTGTAATGAAGTAAGGGCGAAGAGGTAGAATGGCCTATTGACATAGCTCGAGTGCATGAGGGAGTTGTGTAAAACCCTGGTTTGTGTCTCGGAGAGGCTGCAGGATTCAAGTAAATTTAGTAGAACTTCTGGTTACAACTCTTTTTGACCATGTAGATCAGTCGATTAAGGCAGCATCTGGGATGCTCTTGGATGTAGGTTCGAATCCTTGTCACGCCCCTTGTGGATTTGTTCATATGATGCATTACGCTATTGTGATTTCCGTGTGTAATGGTAGTGTGTAATTCAGTTGAGCATAATAACTTGAATTACACCTTAGAAAGTGCTTCACATTATTCTGTTCCCTGGAGATGCACAAAATAATGTTCACAAATTTAAGATCTTCAGGTATGTTCTATAATACTAGAGGTCACTTTGTATAGTTGATGGTTCACATGCGAATTTGAGACCCTATTTATGCTATCTACCTTTGTTGGTTCCGAGGATCAATATCCCTGTGGTCTGCTCGCTGATCAGGCTTCCAGGTTGTTGATTTAGTCAAGCAGGCTGTTACATGCAGCTGCTCGCAGCATGGCGTATGAATCAACCAGGTGTTCTCTTTTGAACGCCATGAGCTTGGTTAGTTATGTCCATTATGTGTTGAGGGAGAGAGTTGATAATTCTTGAGCCTAACCTAGTGAGCTGATCAGGATGAATTTTCTTAAATGCTACAGAATTCAGTTTTAGTAAGTTCTGTTTACTACATACTATCTGAAATAATATATAACAAATGTATTAACATTATCTCAAAAAGGGAATTATAAATTATTATATTGAGTGTAGATAAGGAAGTCCTTTATCTCCAGTGTTATCTAACCTGTACAGTATATGGAATACTTCGAGACGTCCTCTCTCAGATGAAACCTCGAGACATGATTTGGTACAGATATATTGATGACATGCATTTACATGTTGGAAGGATAGCTGGGGACCTTTCTCTGAGTTCTTTGGGAGGTTGAATGCTTTAGTTCCCAGTATCAAATTTAAGGTTGAGTGGGAGTCAGATGATAAATTACCCTTTCTAGACATCCTAGTATAGTAATAAGGAGCAACACCTCACTGAGCTTCACCATGTACAGGAAAAAGATACACATGCAGGTAACTATCTCCATTACTTCAGCAATCACGTAAAAAAAAGTAAAAAATAGTGTTGCGTCGGGTCTTTTCATAAGATCATTGTGAATTAGTAGTCCTCAGCAGTTAGACACTGAAATCAATAAAGTATACAGTCAACTTAATAAAGTAGGATACCCCAATGGATTTCTGGGTGAAGTTTTAAAAGTTGCCAAAGCAAATTACTACCAGACTGACATAACTAGGCAGCAGGAGGATTGATATTAAGAACAGCTTGGATATTCCATATTGTTCTAACTTAAAGTACACTGCTAAGAATGTAAGCAAAATGAGTAAAACAAAATTAATTTTGTTACCCAAATAAAGTTGGAAATGAATTGGTAAATGTCTACGTATCAAAAGAACAAAAAGCCGAGGGCATCGAAGTCTATAAGATCCCTTGTGGTAATTACAATAAAGTTTATTGTGACCACTGAAGTCATAAGAGGTCTGTTAAAAATGATTAAGAGCATCTCCTGTTCTCAGTCCTACATTGTGGCTTGTTGAGCTTGAAACCATTACTCCTTGTTTGTGTTTCATCTGACCTTATGAAGAAATTTTCTGGATCAACATCCTCCAAATTGTTCAGTATTTTAAGTTTCAATAAGATCCACATTGTCATGCTTGATTTGCAGTGTTATTAGCCCTGTGGTCCTCAACTATTCCTGATAAGCGAGTTGACTTGGCTTTGGAATGATTTTTGTTTCCTGGAGTTGCACTTTCTCCAGAACAGCTATGTCCTTCTGGAGATGAGGTCTCCATGCTTGGATGCAGTAATACAAATAGTGGAGCAACAGAGATTTATACAATTGAATCACTACATTCTATCCTTAAAGTCAAAGGGTTAATTATTTCAAGGGTTTGGTTAACTTTTTTGACTGCTGCACCTACCTGCTGAGCAACTTTCATTGAGTGGTGGATTTTAATTCCAAGATCCTTTTCTTCAGCAATCTGCTGTAATGTAATGTTATTAATTTGGTAGTTGTGGCATGGGTTGTTATTTGATAATTTACTTGTAGGTCTATAGCCACAGCAGCAACTTCGTACACCTGATGTTTATATACTGTACATAGTAGTAAATATGTAACTAGAAGTGGGGCATTTGTTGTAGGTTGAATCTTGGAGAAGGTTAGTAGTTGATCTAAGAGGACCAAATAAACCTTATGTACTTCGTATCCCCAATGTTGGGAATACGTGTAACTAGATACTTACAGGCTAGTCACAATTTTGTGGTGCGGTGGTCAAGATGCTCACCTGGCATTTCATGAGTACTTTGTCCTGGGTTCATATTCTTGCCGGGGAGGATTTACTGGTCGCAAATCCTTAACTGTAGCCTCTGTTTAACTCGACAGTAAAATGGGTACTTGGTGGTTAAACGATTTTTTGCAGGGTCGTTTTCCAGGGAACATAGGATTAAAGACTTGCCCGAAATGCTATGCGTACTAGTGGCTGTACAAGAATGTAAGAACTCTTGTATATACAGTATAAATAAAAAAAGAAAGAAAAAAAAAAAGGCACTTGGTTTAGTCTAGTTTGGTGACTCCAGAGAGTAATAGGTAAGATACCATGGTGCATTTTCTAGTGCCAGTTGTTGCCAGTATGGTGATTTTGTGTTTAAAGTGGTCATTGTACTTGCCATTTAATGTCGTTGAATTACAACCACTGTAAGAGCTCAGTAAGCTGAATTCTGGTACAGTAACTCAAATTTTCAGGAAACCCGAATGAATTTATGTGCATAATTTTCAAGCAAACAGTAAGTGTAAGCAGGATTTGGTATAAAGAAATTGTAAATTTGTTCACTTATGGACATGTCTGGTAGGAAATCAGCTAAGTTCAGCTAACTAAAATGGGGTTGGGTGGATCCTATTTAATTTGGATTACTGGGCACAGACAGTATTTGCCTTTGTATTGAATATTATTTAATCTAGTTGAGTTTTGTACAGTATTTATATTACTGTATCTTTATGTAGGCTAGTTATTTAATTTGTATTTATTCTTCCACAGGCTGAAGGAAACAGGTGCCTCACAATTCTTCATTTATTTTGCCTCCCCATGTGTTTAACATTCTTTGTGCAAGACTCCCCATTGACCCTTACTCAGGAATATTTTGCCATACTCCACAATGAAAGAAGAGATCTCTGCTGCAGTGCTCTTCATATCCAAGCTTATCAGTGGAAATGTGAATTTGTCACAGAATATGTTGTCAAAATTTGAAGAAAGGTTGAAAGAGCTGCTCGAGGAAAGATTTAGCAATCATTGGCATCCGGAGCGACCTTGGCAAGGCCAAGGTTATCGATGTTTAAGGTAAGTGTCTTGAGGAGTACCTGGAAAGTACAGTACTTTAAAAAGAGGCTGAAGGATAGGAGCTTTTGAGACAATGGAACTGATTGTTTAAGCTGTCGAGATGATTCAATGGCCTAATCTTACTGTAGCAAAATGGGCACTCTGTCTTCATTTTATTTAGTATGAAATTGGATTGAAGATGTTGGTATGAAATTGAATGTGACACATATTTCAAGATTCTACTTGCAGTATTCAGAAGTGGGAAGTGGAAATAATATTGAGGCCTTACAAACATGAACTCCACACATGGTCAGAAGATTTGGCAAAACATCAGATTAATTAAACCTAAGTCATTGGAAAATAGAATATACTATATACAAAATGTTATATAATTAAATGGGATGTTGAGAATTTATGACTATTTTTGGCAGGAAAATTCAAATCTTAAAACACCCTTTTTTTAATAAGTGTTATCACTTTCGCTCCTTAATGACGCAGTATGACGTCAAAAATTTAGTGGACGAATGTTCGGTAACGACACAGTATGGTGTCAAAAATATAAAAAGTTGGCCTGCTTTCAGTTTAGCTGCAGGAGGGGCGCGCCGCATTTTTGGACATTATATGCATATACTCCTATTGGGAATTTCATTGTGAACATATTTGACACCAAAATGAAAGACCTAGGATGAGAATTGAGGTGACAAAGTTGAAAAGAGTATATACATTTTATTGCTCTTGAGCAGTAATAAGGCATTTTATTGCTCTTGAGCAATAATAGGGCATTTTATTGCTCTATAATTTTGCTATAAACAATTACAGTATAGGGCATTTTGAAAATGGTAGTGTGAAATTGTCTATGAATCACAGCACTTTTATAGACAAGTTCCATAATTTTATGAAACCTTTGAGATAATAGTGGTCGGCATTATTTTCGCATATTGAGATTATGTAGTCTAATAAAATAACTAATGTATTTACCTAATTGCTTGAGTATTTTTAAGCACTTCGTGGCTCGTATGTGATTTTGTATGCGGGGAAAAAAAGTATTTGTTGGGGGTGGGGGTTTGGTAGATAAGCATTGCTGTACCTTTCCATTGCAAAGCAAATGGCTGTACCATAAACTTTTCAGAGTGAATGAAAACACTAGGAGAGAGCCAACCATTGAGAGAGCTGCAAGGGACTGTGGACTAAAATATAAGGATCTGAACCTGCCTGTGGAGCTTACTATATGGGTGGACCCTGAAGAGGTATGCTGTAGATTTGGAGAGCAGAAAGGATCGTATTGTACTGTTGCAACCTTCAGGGAAGGCAACAAGGAGAATTTTATTGAAACATTCGACTTCTCTCAGTTGGAACGACCAAGTTCAACGCCATCTGGAATGTTAAAGGTAGGTACAGATTATTAGGGAGGCTTGGCATTCTTCTTATGCTTAGCTTTAGCACAGTAAAAGAGATTACTGCACTAATTTATTGGGAAGTGTTTTATATCTTTTGATTGTGTATTCAGCCAACCCGTTCTCGCAAATTCGTAAAGTCAATATTGACTTATTAACTACGTGCATAGGTGATATACTAAACATAATAGATACCCTTAAAAAGATTCATAGAAAACACCCCTTACCTAACCTTGTTAGTATCTTAAGATAAGCATCTTATTGCTTCGTAATTACAATTATTACCTAACCTATACCTATTATAGGTTAGGTAATAATTGTAATTACGAAGCAATAAGATGCTTATCTTAACATACAAAGTAGGTTAGGTAAGGTCGGTGTTTTCTATGAATCTTTTTAAGGGTATCTATTATGTTAAGTATGTCACCTATGCACATATTTAATAAGTCAATATTGACTTATTAAATTTGCGAGAACGGGTTGATTCAGCAGGCATACTGTATGAGCAAATTTATATAAACAGAAGTAGTTTGGATACATGAAAGACCTTGGTTAATATGGGTTTCATATCAGGGTTGTTGATTTATTTGAACAAATTATCAGTAACATAATAGATGTGGAATCGATGGGTTGTTTCAACCATAGGCTGTGCCTATGTGTGTGTAATAATTACCTAAGTGTAGTTACAGTCTGAGAGCTACACTTGTGGTGTCCCATCTTCCCAGTACTCTTGTCATATAAAGATTTGAAACTACTGACAGTTATGACCTCTACCACCTTCTCACTTAGCTTGTTCCAATCATCATCCACTTTGTTTGCGAAAGAAAACGTTCTAATATTTTTTCAGTACCTTTAAGCAAGGTGCTGAAAAATCTGTGCCTTTTGCTTGAATCTGTGCCATTTTGTTTGTGAAGTTGCTGGTCCACGGTTATTCAACATCCTCCCAGCGAGCATTAGAAATATTGCCGGTATCAAAAGTGTGTGTGTATTATGATGTGATGTAGTATTGCAGCTATACTGAACCAAGGTGGTGTGGCTCTCCGTCACATAGAAAAAAAATGCTGCTGTGGCTCTTACAGTGTAAGTCACAGGTAAAAATAAAAGAAAACCATCTGTTAAATATGTAATTAAAACAATTTACTGTAATATTAATGGACAAAAATGGCACCTGAGAACACTTGGCTGTTATTACAGAACAAAATAAGTAAAAGAAAATCTAAATATAATACAATACAAGAGTATACTGGGGAACTGAAGATATCCACCCATACCACCACAGCATCTAACACACAACGTGGGCTGGTAGCAGACGACAGGTGAGAGAAGCTAAGGTGATCCAAGAGCACTAAGAGTGTGTCTCCCCAGGGTGATGGTGCCCTTTATATAGCCCGGCGGTGATGACCTCACTGCCGGTGTCGACGCAAGTTGGTAACAAGTGCTGGTAGCAAACTGCTAATTTGTGGCTGGCAGCACCTTTGTGTAGAGGCTGTACAACTGATAGTTGAACGCGGCAAACTGCTTGTTTGTGAAGGCTAACTACTGGTTAGCTGAGACACCTCACTTGCCGACGAGTCATGCCAGACACTAGGGGCCAGGTTCACGAAGCAGTTATGCAAGCACTTACGAACCTGTACATCTTTTCTCAATCTTTGGCGGCTTTGTTTACAATTATTAAACAGTTAATATGAACTCCAAAGCACCAGGAGGCTATTTATAACAATAACAGCAGTTGGTTGGGAAGGTTTCATACTTGTAAACTGTTTAATAAATATAACCAAAGCCGTCAAAGATTGAGGAAAGATGTAAACGTTCGTAAGTACTTGCACAACTGCTTCGTGAATCTGGCCCTAGGTTGGTTGGTACAGGTGGTGGAGTGTGTGGCAGGTCTGATGACTCGGCTTGACCATCATAGAGGTGTACTTCCAGTATGAAGACGGGAGGTGAGTGGAGAAGGCAGTTCCACTGCTATGCATGGGTTTCACGTGACAGTATTTTGTATGAAATGTATTTTAAAGTTAATATTTTTGGGAGTGTGGAACAGATTAATTCAATTTACATTATTTCTTATGGGAAAATTCGTTTAGAGTTATGAATTTTCGAGTTATGACCCGTCTCTGGGAATGGATTAAATTCGTAAATGGAGATACCACTGTATTTAAAAGCAATTCTGAAGTTGGAAAGTATAGTATAGGTTCTTCATACAGTGTTCTTTTGTGGTCATCATATGACAACTTTCTATCCAGAATCACCCTTAGATCTTTATCAGAATTCTTTAAAGCATTTTTGCATAAATTGTAGATTGTTTTTCCTCCTATTCCACATTCCATCAAGTGGCATTTATTCACATTAAATTCCATTTGCTAAGTGTTACTCCATGCTTATTTTGTCCAGAGTCTTCTTGAGGGGAATAATAGTTGCCAAAGTTTATCTTCCTTAGTATTGTAATTGTATTTGCTAGTGAAAGATAATATAACATAATTTTAAGTCTGTGCATTACATTTGTTCTCTTCACTCTTGTAGACAATGGAAGTGCTGAAAGAGAGAAGATTCGATGGAAGTAATGTACAAAGTCCACCATCCAGCACCCAGTCCACTCCAACCAAGAAGAAACTCTTTAGTCCTTTGTATCCAGGGTATGGTACAAAGAGCCAGACTTCGCCCAGCAGAGTTAGTGGAAGTGGTAGCAGTCGGGATAGGAAAGCCTTTGGTAATTATCATAGCCATTACAGCTCTGGGCATCTTAATCATCACCACAGCCATCAACATCAAAGTGGATCTTATTCACCACCATTCTACAAAACTCAGTCATGGCTAAATTTGAGTCAGACTCCTCCCCCTCCGCACATACCATTATTAAGTTCTTCAGGATTTATTTATCCTCCAACGGCTCCCCCGCACTACACCCACGCCCAGATGCCTCCACAATTCACTCGCTCGCCTCCAAGTATAGCGCCTCAGAAGTTCAAATGGAATACTGCTAATTATCCACGTAGCGATAGGCATCAGTGGTTCGGGCATCGTGCTTTGGCCAGAGTTTAAGGTGTACACACTATTACAAGGGGCACTTATGAGTAGAGTATGTTTGGATGGGTGAAGTGATCTGTGCCAGCTTGGTTAACATATCCCTCATGTGATAGTTTTAGCATTATATATACATTGTCTAATTGTTGACTTTTCCAATTTACAGTAGCTTGATCTCACTAGAATTAATATTCTTTAATAGTTTTGCTTAGATAATGCTAAGCTGGTGATTGCTACAATGTAATGAAACACAAATAATGGTTTAAATTTCTTAGTTCCTCTTAAGTGCCCCTTGTTGCTATGCCCATACTAAGAATGTGCATGTTTCAGTGTGATTCTGCACTGTTCTTTGTCAGGGAGGGAGGCACCTTGAGCCAGTTCAAAGTGAAGTCTTTTTATTAGTGAAGCAAGTGAGACATGCAGCTGTATGATGGGAATTACATCCTTATATAAAGGGCTCTGTAGTAATCAACAAGGCGATAGGTACAAAGATGGTACAAGATATACGTAGTAGTTTAGAGGCTAATAGTACAGGGTCACTTAACGTAAAGTGAATGGGTTGTTTCCTCACAGATGGTGCTCAGACTATGAGGCTTAAAATAGTACTATAATTGTTATTTGGATAATTTCCAAAACCTAATACTGTACTGTATTTCATTAGTAAGAAAGATTTTAATTTGAAAAGTGCTCAAGTGTGTCTGCTCAACTGTGATTCCATTGTCAGCCGACCCTTGTTTTAGAGTTCAAAGGATTATGAATGAGGCACTACTCCTGTTGGCCCTTCAGTCTCTCTCTCCGAGTAGGTACCTGCAAATTTAGGAAAGGTCCCACAGATTAGAGGTTATATATATATACATATATATTATTTTTCTTAAATTAATGTTTTTATTTAGAAGCACTTTGTACCCCAGTAAGAATGCACTGGTATTCTGGGTGACAGCTCTATTATATTTCTCCCCTCTGATGCAACTTGAAAAAAAAACTAAAAAGTTGATAAGATTACATTGACATTCTCAGGAGTATATGCACAAATTTCTGGTTGTGGCTTTTGTGGGGTCATATGGGCAAGATTCATGATGAAATTTGTGGTGGTTTGACATGAGGTATAGCTGTTGTATCAGGTTTTCCATGTCCAGACAAGTCCTGGAGATACACACTCCTATAATGGACATCAATATATATGCACCTTTGTCAGTATATTTGAAATCTAAAATTTAATTTTTAATAGTTTTACATAGAGATGCTCCAAGCATTAACTTAAGTTTCTATGATTGCAAGTCGTTAGTTTCCTATTTGTCAAGAGTGACTGGAAGTGCAACTAGAATATTCATCTAAATAATTTTTGTGTTCTTTTTGAAAGATGATTCATTTCTGTGTTTTGATCTAGATCATGCCTGTCCTTCTGTAGTGAGCATATAAAACAGGATTTCACAGTTGGATCAGAAGCTTAGTACATAGTTTTGATTGACAAGGAATTTCTTGTGGGATGGTAAATTAAACAAAAAATTGCCATTAATGCACGTGCTATCAAAATTTTATTTAATTAGAATAGATGTATATAAGATATACAAGGATACACCCCAGTTTTACATGCCAGATACACATAACATATTTATATATATTTATATATTTACATATATATATATATACTTACCATAGATATATATATATATAAAATCTATGTAGCATCTAAAAGAAAGATTAAATATATAATGATAACCACTGACCATATTTCACCTCAGTTATACTGTGGCTCTTTCTGCTAGTCTATCCTCTTTCTTAATTTTAAGTAATACATGTAAATTATGATTGAATTGTGAAACTTTTTGGCGGTGCTGGCTATAAATTAACATTTAAAATAAGTCGTTCATCATTACACTATTCTTGCTGACATTAATCCCATAGTTGTGAAGAAGATAGTTTCCATTGGCCGCTCCGGTGCAACGCGATTAATAACATTGAAGATGTAAGCTCAGGTTGACTTGCCCCTGGGTGAGGGTTTTTGCTAGACTAAGTACAATTTTGTTGTAAGTCAAATATCTTGTAAGTTAGCCAATTTTTTGTTCTTTTAGATTTAGTTTTGTATTGCAGTTGTTGTAATTTCTTTAAATTTCAATCCTGATAATGATAAACCTTAAATGGGATTCATATATTTCTTCCTTTGAACGCTGCCTGTGTGAACGTCTGTTTTGTTTGAAGTGTAGGGCTTGCAATAATTTATTCATGTATGTAATTATGCTAACAAAGTTCATCCCAAATTGTGAAGTCGACTAAATACTATAGTTGGAATTCTAGTAGCTTATTGTGGAGCACATTTAGTTTGTGATCTTGACACACGTGCCGTCCCGTCTTGTCAAAATACTTGAGGGTTGAAACTCATGGATGTGACTTGGTAAGTGAATACATTATTGTGGTAATCTGATGATGGAAAGATTGCATGTTTTGCTTGTTTATAGTCACTAACAAAGGGTCTTGCATAATCAGAATTTATCCATATTAATGATTTGTTTCTTTTATACAGTTTGTACCAATCTTGATAATTGAAAGCACTAATTGATTATGAACTTTGGAATAGAGTACCTAAGAGTATTTGAAAATGTTTTGTGTATCTTTGAACAGCATATCATTTATTCATACAGTACATTTAACATGCTTGGGTTTTTTCCATTTCCTTGGGAGTTGAACATGACCTAATTGAAAGTAAACCAATATTAAAAGTGAGTTTTCAACTTCATTTAAAATTTTGTGAAGGTTAATTTAAATTTATGGTGCAATTTATATTTTGTTCCATTGCTGAGACAACTGCAGTGTCCAAGTGTTTTATGATAATCACAGGCAATACATATTTTTCCATAATAAAATGAGTGGAATAAGATTTGATGCGACATATCTATCAAGTAGTGTCATTTTGCCCTATTTTTGTCTTGCTGTCACTCATATTAATTTGTAGTGAATGTTCATATAATGTAGGCTTATTGACATAGGATTTTCTAAATTTGTAGTGACAAGATTGAAATATATAATGAAAATCACATTAACATTCAGAATCCTTGTGTAAATATTGAGATTGTACAACAGAATCCAGTTGATAGTGCATGTGCCTGAGGGGATCGGGTGTGGGTTTGATTCCATTGTAGGGCCTCGGTATTTATTCACAATTGAAATGTGCTTCACATTGGCATAAATGTTATTCCTGGGTGTTGTCTGGGTAGTCTGTTTGGTACTATTTTATTTTGGATTAAATTCGCATATTTGTTATGTGGGGTTAGGTCAATCAAGTGTAGGGTCTTGACATGAACAATAATGTATTCTGTATTAGTTCTTGCTACTACACGAGTGTCATCTCTTATAGAATTTGTTATAATTACAAAGGATATACAGTACATGTTTTATATTTAAAAGTGTTTAGTCTGTTGCAGGTGATAGAACTGTAGATGGTTATTGCATAATCCTATTTGAAAATATATTCAGCGTCATTTAGAATGGGGCAGTTTCATGTATTCAGTAACCAAACCCTTGTCTGTCTGCATCTTTGATGCCTCAAACTGGATTTGGTATGAAAAGTCTTTCTCAAACATTGTAGCCACTTTCTTTCTTTAGAGTTTCAGATTCTAAAGCCAAATTTCAAACATTGAAGACTGTCAAATGGCTAGCTGCAAAAACCACTACAATAATTTTTCAGTAGCTGTTTTGAGCATTGTATATTTCTTAAATAGTGGCTAGAAAAATGTAGAATATTTGACACTCTGCTCTGTTTAGTGGAGAAGGCTGGGGCATAAAGTTAATGATGGATGCTTTTTATCAAGACACTGAAGTTCTGAAATAAGCATATATAACTACATTGTACTGTTGATGTGATATAAACATTTAATGTGTCTAGTTTGAAGCACTTACAGTTTGTACATAAGTTTGCTTTTCATTAATTCTGTATTACACAAGAACCTGTACTAAGAGTAAATGTCTAGAACACATTTAAATTTCTACTGTTTTTGCATTCATTAGATTTTAACAAATGTGCATATAACTGGACATGGGGAATGTTGCCACTACAACAGATACTGTATTAGCATTTTAGAAATTAATTTAAGTAACATAATTGCTGCTACTCAATATATAGAACTTGTAAGGTAGGGAACAGGGTAGGGAAGATGAGGTGTTGTGCAAGGGACTCGTGTTGTGCTTTAGTCTAATGGGGAGTATTGATCAATTGTCATGTAATTTGGTGAACATTATATTTTTGTCCAACCAAATATAATTACAATAAATGCATTATTTTAGCTTAAAATGAAGGTAAAGGTTTCCTTTTGTGATAGAAACTCCTCCTGTATGGAAATGCAAGAGGCAGTAGACATACTACAGATTTTTTAAGGATGATAAAATTTGAAAATTTCAATCCTTTTTGTGAAGGTGAAATTTATAAATCTGATAGTGAATGTTGTTAGTGGGGTCGCATGCTTTTGTTGCCTTTACTTAATTTGATGACTTCTCTATTTTGATTTCTGTATTCTACCATTTAACACAATGGTAATGGTGTAACACTTTGGTTCCTTTCACAATTTCATTGCAGTTAGTGATTGTAATATCCATTGAACTTTGCTTTTCTAAGTTTGTAAAAGCTGAAGAGGTACTGTTTGCTCAAAAGTATAAATGAGGGTTTAGTTTTTGGAATATTCGTCCAGTACCGTGATCACAAGTTGCATGCCAAAATAATTTGATAATGTATTTTATAATGATTAAGTGGACCTTTAGCAAGATAAGAATTCCTGTTGAATATTTTTTTTTTTTGTTTTTATTGTAGAATATATGCTCAGTCTTATTTTCATTGATTATTTTTTGCCAAGAGCAAAACAAAGAGGAGGTGGCCATGTAAACTCCTGGGGGTCGCCGAGGGTGCGACCACCGCTCAGTGTAGTTTACTAACATGTTACTAACAAACAGATGATGGATCATATGCACATTTTTTATCACTATTAATGCCTACTAAAACAAGATTTCTGTTTGAATTCTATTTACTTTGTATAGCTGTTCCTTTCAATTATTCATTTAGCATTTTGTTAGCTGTATTGTAGTTTGACTTGTTTGTATGTTTTCATGTATCAGTTTTTGGCTATATTTCTTTTGAACTTTTCTTAAAGAATGTCTGTAAACAATAAGTCGCATTAAAAATAACTTTAGTCATAGTTGCATAACCCATGATGCTAGTTAATATAAGTGGAGTTGTATGTGAGCAGATGGAATATAGATTATTGATCATGAACTGCCGTATAGAAGTCCAGCATTTTATAGATTGGCATACGTACAAATTTTGGGTAATTTAATACTTTTTCAGAGGGACCAACTTGTATTATAACATTCTTGTATTAAAAGTACCTGAAGTTTTTTCATTTGGTACTACTGTTACTCATACTTTTAGGCCTCGCATCAGTTGTTTATGATAAAATAGAATGGCAGAATAATTCTGGAATTTAATATTATACTGCATCTGTTTTGAAAATCTCTTCTTTTTTTTCCTTAGGGTTGATACTTTTGTTTTGCTCTTGGGTAGTAACAACTAGACAAAAATATCTAAATGTTAGGTTATTACATCATGCCGAGTACATTTATGGCAGAAAACAGGCTTGTCTTTTCTGGTAAAGGTCCCAAAAATCATGTTGACCAGTTTTTTTTTTTTGTGGTTTATGTATAGAAAATCCTTATTTAAGATGTACTCATATTACGGTAATGCCATTATTATTGGTATGGCATTGTAGCTGTAAGGCAAGTTGTGTTCTACAGTACCGTGTCTTGTTGTTCTCTGACTCGTGCTAGAAGCTACAGTGTATTTTGTTGGCCAATTTTTAAATTGTTCTTTTTTTTTTTTTTTTTTTTTTTTTTACATCATAAATTTCCTATAGGGAAGATTGAGTCTCACAGTACACTTGATTATGCACAGACAAATGATGTATGTAGCAGGTTTTTACTTCAGTCTGCTGTTACTCATTGATAACATGTAAATAGAAGAGGCTAATTACGAAGACTTTAAAAAAAAAAATAATTTTCAAATACCAATTTGCAATGTAGATAAAAGTTTAGTTTAGGGAAAACTGTAAAGCTGAGTATAAAGTACTGTACATTTGTTTTCTGTGCATGGCAAGTGTATTGGTATACGTAATGTCTTCGTGTACAGTCACAGGCTTTAAGTTTTTAGTGGGTGTTGCAAGATTTGAGTGTAGGCCAGTTTTAAGTGCCCTTGATGAACAGTAATATGTCGATTGGCCAGGGTGTTTGTAAAAAAGTTTTAGACATAAGATTCATTCATCTATATATATTATAGTTGTATATCAGTACTCTCTTTAATGGGATCCAGTATCTTGAGGATTCATTTTCCCTTGAGTGCCTTCCTGTTCTTGATAGTACAAAGATGACCTCTGTAGGTAGTGGTTGCAGCCATACTTCTCTTATCAAAAGTGGTCATTTGTTGATTGAAAACCATTTACCAATTTCACACAATTTGAGTGGTACTCTGATATATTGTTTTGAATAAAAGTGCATCATATGCACTAATTTTTTATGGCTTTTGAAACTCGAGTTTTTCCATTGGAAGTAGGATTCTTGAATATACTTTTGGTGCTGTTATTTAAGTATGGAAGAGTGCTGTATAAAAGTTTTTACTTTTTAAAAATTGTATATATATATATATTTGATATATTTTTGGTTTAGCGGTGTGGGCATGCTGAGCTCGCATCCATTCAGGTGAGGTCTGTGGCTTTCAAAGAGTCGTCACGGTCTAACTTGAATCACATTTCAACATCATCATGGATGAATCTTTAGAATGTGGCAATTATTAGGCCCAGTAGTTGTTACCAAGTTTTACTGTGTAAATGTAGCTCCTCCAGTGCTATTGTCTTTGCTCTAGTCATGAATTATAACTTTTTTTTTATATATTTATCATTCACCCACTACTACAAATGGCATACAGGCTGTGGCAAGATTATTATTTTGCAATAAGACCAATATATATTTTATGGAAGCATTTACCATTAAGTTCTTGGGTAATTGTAAATTTTTGTCCAAATTTTGTTTCTTTATATTTGTAATTTGTACAAGTATTTAGGATTATTTTTTTAATTTGCTTTGATCATTTTGTTTGCCATTACTTTTTTGTCACTAAATTCCACATTGAAAAGGTTGTATAGGGAAATTCCATTGAACTTGGCATTTGGTGCGGCTGACAATCATACGTTGAATATTTGAGATGGACAAAGTTGGCCGTTACTTCACTTCTTGCTGCTACTCACTGTAAGCCAAACCTGTGATAATTTAGTTTCATTTTCCATGTCACTGGAAGATCTATATGACTGTTGGAAAATAAGCTTGTACTCAACAAATATAATTTAATGATTTGCTGAATAGGTGACAAATTTGGGGCCATAATCTTTCAGGCTTATCTTATATGCTGTAGATTTCTTCTTGATCTTTAAATCAGAATTTAGTGTTATTATTAATGTAATAAAGGAATGTATTTTAGGTAAATAGCAACATTTATATTTCTCAGAAAAATTTAATTGTACAGTTTTTATGGCATTGCATCTTATAGTTTTACTTTCCTATTTGACCATTTTACATGAAGTTTATAACATGACAAGTACTGCTGTTAATAATTTGTTAGTTTGATGATATTTGTGTGTGTGTGGTTTAACAAAACAAAAAATCTGTTGTTCCCAAAGTGCTCTATCAATTCTGAAAATGGGAATTTGGATAATGACAATTATAGGTGACATGATATGCAACAGGTTAGGCTTGACGTTGTCATACATTGTACAAAGTCTGATAGGCTTGAAAAATAAACTTCTAACCACACTTATTATAAACAATAAATTAAAGTAATATTAATAATGTGGAAAATATTTGTTTTGCTCAATATGTCAAACAAAGAAGTAGATAAATTTCATTACAAAAACTACATTTTTCTACCTGGTGCTAATACTGATGAATAGAAAAATTTCTTTTATTTTTGGATGTGTTGGTTGCATGACGAAGAACGTTCTTCTTCAGCTTTATCTCGATTAGTAAGCCAACTCGTAGTACTAATCTTTCTCGGCACTACAATTTACCGGGGTCCTGAGTGGTTGGGTCCTTTATGGCCTACATTGTGACCAATCACCCCTCTCCAACACAAGTAGACAATGTCAATATCATGGCTAAAAGTTAGACAACCCAAAAATATAATCGATGGAAAGGAAGTGAGAAAGATCAAATAATATATACTGTACATGGAATACACAGAGTAATCACACTAACGTGACGGCATCAATGAGAAAATTCGAACCCTCATCTTGGTTCCGACAGATTTTCTTATTGATGTTAGTGTGATTACTCATGATCACGTTAGTAATGATTATCACATTAGTGTTATTACTCTGTATTCAAAGTGGAGTGTCAGAGGTAGAATATTCCTGGATGACAAAGCCAGATTGCACGAGGATGATTGGGTGAAAATCCTGTTTTGGCTTGAGTAGAAGCCTCGGGGAAATCCTTGTGTGTTCAGTATAACTCCAGGTTGTAATCCTTTTACCCTGCTGGGGTGTGCGTTGGACTATCCACCACAAGTTCGAACCTTCATCATGGCTCTTTTGGTTTTTCTTGTATATATGGAAGATACTGGAAAGACAGGTTCCAAATTTGCACAGTAGAATAACAACTTAATGGAGCTAAAGATACAGAAGGAAATATAGAATAGAACAAGTGAAGAGTATGAGCATCGGAGATTATAGCTGTTCACTACAGTACTCTCAACATGTACTGTAACAGTACTGAAATGTACTTTCCAGTACATTTCAGCATACACTGGAAATATTGGCGGTATAAAGGTGGACTTCAACAAATTAAATAGGTTTCTGCAGAAAGTGGCAGACCAACCAGGTTATAGTTGATGTGTGGGCTTGTGGGCTATTCCAAGCAACAGCCTGTTGAACCAAATTATAACCAGTAGAGCCTGGCTCTAGGTCGGGCTTGGGAAGTGCAAGAACTCTCGGAACCCTCTTCAGGTAGGCACCAGGCTCTGGCGGTCCCAGACCAGGTTTTGTCTTTGGCTACCCCCTTTGGGTCCACTCACTTCTCCAGCCTCCTCTTTGGCAAGATCAACCTCCAAGTCCCCAATGGTGACTATCACATCACCTGGAGTGACTCGCTTTGATGGTTACTTCAGTGGTAACCATAAAATGATGGTCTAAGGCAGCATCCTTGCCATCAAAACTGTTATTTCAGCTTTGCCTCAGTGGAAGGTTGCACTGGTAAATTATTGCAGGATCCTAACTTGCATGCTGAAGGCTTCTGCAATTGGTGTCTTGAATTATATTTAGCGCTGTGTGAATATCTTGCAACTTAGTGTTATGTAGTCTTTTGTGGCTTGGTGCCTTCTTTGATAATTACTTTGCATCCTGTGATGGGCAAAATACAACACTAGCCATTTCTAATTTTTGACAAATATAAGATAGTAGAAGTTTGCTACGGTATATTGGAATTACAGTACAGTACTTTGAATGAACTCGCAGATGCCGCCACTCGGGCCATTTGTGTGTTCAACATTTCCCAGAAAAAAAATCTTTATTCAGGGCACTACCTGGTCATTAATGCTGCAATCTGCAACCATTGGCAGGGTCATTGGGCAGGTGTTACAGGAAATAACTGCTCTTTAATGATTTTTTTCCCCATGGCCTTTCTTCTACCATTGTAATGAGTGATGGGAAATGGCTTTGGTAGATTGCATATCAGCCGCTCGCCTAATGGTCATTTAATGGAACGTGCTGCTTCCTTTTGTCCAAACTGCATTGTTCCACATATAGTTGTGCACCTCATAAATTGCCCTGATTTTCGAGATGATCAAATGTCAGCATGCTGACAGTTAAAATCACTCGAAAGAAGCACAAGCTCTGGTAATGAGTTAGAAGTGTTTTAAAATTGGGAACAGCAAGTGGAGTATTTTGAGAACGATAAATGTAACATATGGTATACCATTTTCTATAAGATTAGGGCAGTAGTGGAATGAATGTTCAACTGAAAAAGGATGGGGGGGGGGGACAAGTAAGTAAGTAATTATCAAAAGAAGGCACCAAACCGGGAAGGCTATGTAGCACCATCAAATTCGCAAAATAATCAGAGGGCGCTAAATATCACCAAGGTTGCCAATACGAGAACAAAAACGCATAAGGCGAACGATATCAAAAGTATCCGAGTCACCAAGAATTCTATCGAGGGACAGGTGACCGCGAGGGGCGGTCGGAAAGCAAGACACACGCTCGTCCTGGAAGTCAGGACATTCAAGAAGGACATGCACGACCGTATGCAACTAGGACAATAAGGAGCAGGGCGGCGCTCCATCAAGTGACCATGGGTTAAGCGAGTATGGCCAATACGCAACCTCGCTAGAGCTGTTTCCCACCGCCGGTTACGGTGGAAGGAGGACGGCCACGAGGAAACACAACATTTAAGAGTACGTAGCTTGTTACCAGTAACAGACAACCAAGAAGCCTGCCAACGGGTAAGGACTGAGGAATGGATAACCGGGTAAAAGTCGGAATACGGAATACCTTTACGAGAGATGGGACAAGAGCGGACAGCTTCCTTGGCGACAGCATCCGCACGCTCATTTAAAGACACCAATATGGCTGGGAACCCAACAAAACTCAACCAACTTAAATTTACTGTGAACAAGAAACTGCCAATGCTGGATCTCGACAACTACTGGATGAACCGGATTAAAGGACCAGAGAGCCATGAGGGCACTACGAGAGTCAACAACAACTACAAAGGAAGACTGACAACGAGAAAGCAGGAGACGAAGAGCATAGAGAATAGCATAAAGCTCCCTGTAAAGATGGTAGTCTCCGGAGGTAAGCGACACATATAAGTGCGATCAGGAAAAACAACAGAGTAGCCAACACCGTCCGCAGACTTAGACCCATCGGTGAAGACAGAAACGGAGCGGGAGTGAGAAGAAAAGTGCTCAAGGAAAAGGCGTTTTAGAACCGTAGGAGGGGTAAAAGCTTTAGTGATATGGGTCAAGGATGTACAAAACCGCGGAAGAGGGACTCTCCACGGGGGCAAAGAAGGAACAACACGAGGAGAAACATTAGAAATACGAACGGAAAGAGAGTCCTGTAGGCAAGATAACCGGACAGAAAGAGGGAGGTGGTGAAGAGGAACAGGAACCGCAGGAGGGGTAAAAGTTAAAGCACGACAGAGGAGAGAGGAAGGATGTTGTAAGGACCGCCCAAGATAGCGAAGACAGTAGCGATCACGGCGGTCTTGGAGAGACAGGAAGCCAGTGTCAACATACAAGCTAAGGACTGAGGCGCAACCCAGTATGGTGCAAAGCATCAAGACGGCGAAGAGTAGAAGGAGAAGCAGACGAGTAAGCAGGGCAACCATAATCGAGCTTAGACAGGACGAGAGAGGAATGTAAAGCAAGGAGAGTGCGCCTATCTGCCCCCCAAGAAGTATGGGACAAGACCCGAAGGAGGGTAAGGGCCTTAGAGCACTCAACACGGAGGTAAGAGATATGGGGAGACCAAGACAAACGAGTGTCAAGGAATAACCCCAAAAGCTTCGCGGAATCTTTGTACTCAAGGGCATGACCATAAAGTGACAAAGAGGGACGAAGACCGACCCGTTTCCGCGTAAAAGTCATGGCACAAGTCTTAGAAGTAGAGAACTTGAAGCCATGATCGGTGGCCCAAGACGACACGGCATCAATTGCAAGTTGAAGCCGGCGCTGAAGGAGAGGCGAATCATCACCCTGACAGCAAAGGGTAAGATCATCGACATAGAGAGCGGAGAAGACACCTGAAGGAAGAGAGGAAAGAAGACCATTGAGGGCAACCAGAAAGAGTAGTGGTCAGAACACTACCCTGGGGCACACCTTCGTATTGCTGAAAAGAGGCAGAGAGAGAGCGGTACCAAGGCGCACCCGAAAGGAACGACGAGAGAGGAAGCTGCGGAGAAAGAGAGGGAGACGAGCACGAAGGACAAAAGAATGAAGTTGAGATAGAATATGATACCGCCAAGTGGTGTCGTAAGCCTTTTCCAGGTCAAAAAGGACGGCAACAACGGAGGTCTTCGCAGCAAAAGCAGTACGAATATAGACCTCCAAGTTCACCAGGACATCTGTCGTGCTGCGGCACTTGAGGAAACCAAATTGAGAAGGGGAGAGGAGGTGATGGTGTTCCAGGAACCACATCAGACGAACGTTAACCATATGTTCAAAGAGTTTGCAGACACAACTTGTGAGGGCAATAGGGCGAAAGTCCTTAGGGGAAGTACCCAGAGACCCCGGTTTGCGAACAGGGAGGACTGACGACGACTCCCAGATCTGATTATACAGACTCGGTAAATACTGAGACGTGCACGGAGGGAGATGGTGAAGCATCTCGTAATGAATACCATCGGAGCCCGCCGCCGTAGAACTGCAGAGGGCCAGGGCAGAACGAAGTTCAGAGAGAGAGAAGGGATCATTATAGGGAAGCTGAAGACGAGTGCAGAAATCTAAAGGACGAGACTCAAGGACAGGTTTACGAAGAAGGAAAGATTG